GCTAGGCAAAGCCAGGCAGGGCAGGTAGGCTAGAAATTCGGTCCCATCTACTGTGAATCACCTTGCCCTTCTGCCGCGTGTGCATTGTCTGTCTGCTGTTCCTCTGTGTGGTCGCCTCTTGATCCGCTCCTGGTTGTCTCCTGTCTCCCTCAGGTGGCGTGCGGGGAGAGTGTGACAGTGGCGGTGACAGCAGAAGGGCAGGTGTACACGTGGGGCAGTGCGGAGTATGGCCAGCTGGGAACCCTCAGCTGATGGCAAGCTGCCAGGTGCGTGCTGCTGCTGCTGTCTGCTGCTGTGTGCTTTGTCGCACACCTCTCGTGGTAGGACAGACCCCCATGTAAGATAACCAGGCTGTCTGTGCTTCTGTCTCGACTCCCACCAATGCATTCTCCATGTGGACCTCTCTTTTCTCCCTGTGTCCATCCTCCCCCGTCTCTTCTCCAGCGCGAGTGGCCGGCCCATTGCAGCAAAAGCAGGTGGAGCAGGTGTCATGTGGGGCACACCACATGGCAGCGCTCACCAACCACCAGCGCACCTTTTCACGTGGGGCAGGGGCGCCAACAGTCTCCGAGTCAACTCAAACCCCAACTCTTTTCCCCCCATTCTCCCTTGCAGCTAGAGTGGCCGGCCCATTGCTGCAGAAGCAGGTGGAGCAGGTGGCGTGTGGGGCGCACCACGTGGCAGCACTCACCACCACAGCGCATCTGTTCACGTGGGGGCAGGGGCGCCAATGGGCGTCTGGGCCACGGGGACGTGAAGGATAGGGACGTGCCCACCCGCTGTCACTGCCCTCAAAGACAGACGCGTTTCTGCTGGTAAGGTTGTGCCGCCTTTCTCTCCCTCCCTCTCCCTCCCTCTCCCTCTTCCATGGTCCCTCTTTCCCTCCCTCTTCCATGATCCCTCTCTCTCTCCCTCTTCCATGGTCTATCTCTCTCTCTCTCCCGTCTCCTTCGTTAAGGCCTCACTATGTGCTTTCGCCCTCGGCCCTGCTCTCTATCCGACACTCCCCATGACCAGGTCTCCTGTGGGGCGGCCAGCACAGCCGTGGTGTGTCAGCACAAGCCCTTCTCAGGCGCCGACAACTACCAGTGCAACCAGTGCCGCCAGCCCTTCACCTTCGCGCGCCCCCCCGCCACAGCTGCTACAACTGCGGCCAACCCGTGTGCCACGCCTGTAGCAGCCGCAAGCTGCTCGGAGCAGCCATGGCCCCATCCTCCTCCCGCCCCTACCGAGTATGCGACTCCTGCCATGCCAAGATGGTCAAAGCTGCTGCTGCCGCTGCTGCTGGGGCTGCTGTGGGGGGTGCTGTGGGGGCTGCGGCAGCAGCTGGTAGTGGTTTGGTTCACGGGTCTGTGGTGGTGTGGGTGGGATGGGAGGGGGAGGGGCAGGGGCGGTTGCAGCAGGGGCAGGCGCAGGTGCGGGGGGAGGGGTAGCAGGTGCAGGTCAGACTGGTGGTGTTGGTGGGATGAGTGCAGGAGGAGGTTTGCCAGGAGGTGCGGGGATGGGTACAGGAGCAGGTGCAGGCAGCATTGCGCCGGTTAGCCTTGCGATGAGCTGGCGGTCTCGGAGCAAGTCCATGTGCAGAAATCGCGCACGTCCAATGATGTGGACAAGCTGCTGGACCCGTCACTGGCTGACGTGGCAGTTGCATTATCCTCCGGAGCAGCACCATCATCAATATCATCAACATTAACATCAACATCATCAGCAGCAGCAGCAGGGGGTGTATCAGGGGGTCTGGCATCCCATGCACCATCTGTCTCAGCCTCTACAGATGCCCTTCCTAACTTCCGCCGCACTCGCGCCGAAGCCCTTCCAGCACTCTGGAGCTCCATAGCCGTCCCCACCATCCTTCGCCTCTTACCTGTCCAGCAGCCACGCCCACAAGGTCTCTCACAGGGAACCCAGGGACCCCTCCCATGCCCCCACTCCCGTGCCCTCCCCCCGCCCAACAGTTCTGTTTCTGCCTCCCTCCCCGCTCTCCCTGCTGCTACCCATGCCCACTCCGCCTCTCCTCCCCTCCGCACCAGCGCTTCACCTCCCGCCAAACCTGACGACTCCCATCTCCGAACCAGCCGGTCGCTCCGAACCTCGGTCCAAGCCCAGGGAAGAGGTCAACCAGCCCAATGCTCCGGCGGTCGATGGGCACGAGCCCGCTTCGCCGAGCCTCCAGCCCGACCGCGGCTCAGATAGCTTCGGCAGCCGCTGCAGCCATGGCTGCTGCTATGGCAGGGCGTATGCCTGGGCCCACCCCTGCTTCCATCGCAGCAGCAGCTGCGGCGGCAGGGCAGGTGGGACCAGGGGGCATTGGAGGAGTGGGGGGATGGGGGCTGTGGGGGGCCTGGGAGGCGTTGTGGCGCTGCCTGGGGGTGGAGGGACGAGAGGAGGATCGTCGGTTGGGAGGGGTGGGCGGAGTGGAAGTTGCAGGAGCAGGAGGGGGTGGGGTGGAGGGAGGAGAAGGAGGAGGATGGTCGGCCATGACAAAAGCATTGGAAGAAAGTAAGTGCCATCTTGTGTGGTAGACTTCCACCTCCATTCTGGGCGGGATTCCATTTCCGAGTGGCCCAGTGCCTGTTTCTACCATAGGCTTTGTGCCTTCAGTGCTGTTCCTCCTTCTCTCAACTATTCGCCTCTCCGATCGTCTCCATTGTTCGTGGGTTTGTCTTGTGTGTGGGCAGCATCAGAGGCGGAGAGGGACACAGCCATGGCGGGCATGCGGCATGCCAAGCAGAACGCAGAGAGGGAGGCATACCGCCTGCAGGATGAGGTGAGTGACGGCTGCTGCGCGTGCGCTAGTCATGTGCGCTGTGCATGGCACGCAACGCTCTTCATTTGCCTGCCTCCATGTTGCACAGAACATGGCACGGCAGGTTTTTTGGTGAGGTGCTCCGCCAGAAACTGGCATCTACCAGAGCATGAGTGCAGAGAAGCATTGAGGCAGTGAGTGGAGCGAATCCAAGCACACTTGCGCTTCTTGTCTTGCATGCCCGTGTCTGAACCCCTGCAGGTGGAGGTGCTGCGGCAGCACTGCCAGCTGCTGGAGCTAGAGCGCAGGGCCACCCTGGAGATGGCTCAAGGGCAGGTGGAGGCAGCAGTCACTGCAGCCAGTGAAGCGAATGGGACCTTTTTACACTCACATGTACCAAACCCGTGTCCATCCTTTGCAGGTGGAGGTGCTGCGGCAGCACTGCCAGCTGCTGGAGCAAGAGCGCAGGGCGACACTGGAGCTGGCCCAGAGGCAAGTCGAGGCAGCAGTGACAGCGGCCAGTGAAGCAGGAGCGAGGGCAGCAGGTGCACGCGACATCATCCAAGTGTTGTGCGCTCAGATGCAGGAGCTGCTGCAGCAGGCGCCGTCCATCCCAGTCAAGCAAGCCAGTCTGGCGATCCGAGCCGTTGATGACTCAGTGCTCTACACTGGTCCTCTGCTCCTGTCGTCGTCCGTGCTGCCCCCGTCCCTTGTTGAGCTGCCACCGCTGCCTGTTTCAGGGAGCGGTGGTGCCGCGCTTGCTGCTGCTCCTGCTCTTGCAACTGCTGCTCCTGGTGCTTCTGTGGGGAGTGTTGAGGGGTGTAGGGTAAGGGGTGGAGGTACAGCAGCAGGAGCAGCGGCAGCATCAGGTGTAGGAGCAGCAGAAGCAAGTGCTGCTTCCCAGGCAGCTGGACCAGCAAGTCTCACTGGCAACTCGCGTCCAACCAGAGGCTTCCTCGTGTCCTCCTCTTTGGGTAGCTATAACAGAGGGGAAGCAAGTGGCAAGGGATTTCCTGAGCTGGTCCTTGCTGTACCCAGCCACCAGCAGCAGCACCCATGGCAGGGGAACGCAGGTGGGAGTGAGGTGCGTGAGGGGTGCGGGGTGGAGGCGCAGCATGAGGGAGGAGTGCCTTGGACCCCTACAGGGGCCTCGTCTGATAAGATATCACCTCGTTCCAAGTGGATTGGTGGGGGAGAGCGACAGAGGGAGCAACCGCAGCAAGAGCAGTGGGAGGGAGAGAGGCAGGCTCGTTTTCTGGTGTGGCAGGGGCGGGCGTGGCAAGGGGAGGCTCCAGTGTGGATGTTAGCGCACGTGAGAGCGTGGGAGTGGGGGGGGTCAGTCAGGGGAAGCTCACCCTTTGAGGCTCCAGCACGGTGGACAGAAGCAAGTGCGGAGAGGGGCAGCTCTGGCGCTCAGCTGGATGGTCTCAGCCTGAGAAATTCCCAGGGGGGTTATCTTGGCAGCAGGGGTGGAGGGGCGACGGGTGAGAGGCAGGAGCGGCGGACACTGCCTGTGTTTGAGGCGCCACGGGGCGTGAGCAGCGAGCAGCAGCAGCAGGAGAGCAAGAGTCGCATGGTGCCGTCGCTGGTGCGGCTGCATGAGTCGCGGACGCATCTGCGGCAGCGGGAGACCACTCCTGAGCGCGTTCCTGTAGGTGTCTCTGTGGGAACTCTGCCTCCCAGTGCAGCTGTGCCTCCTCATGTTCCTGGCCCGAGCAGCAGGAGGAGCCTGCCTGCTGTGCCTGGGCTCAGCAGCAGAAGCAGTGTGGGTGGGATGAGAGAGAGTCTGGGCGGCGGGAGAGAGAGTTTGGTTCAGGAACGGAATGGGCGGCCGAGTGAGAATCTGATTGGTAGATTGGGAGGAATGGCAGGGGAGAGGGACGTTGGTGGGGAAGGGAAGGCTGCGTTAGGTGAGGGTGATGAGTCAGTTGACGGTGGTGGTGGCAGTGGTGTGAGGGAAGCAGGTTCTACTGACGAGACCAGGCAAGAGCTGAACTTGGGTTCTCAAGGATGGGAAAACGAAAACGTGGAACCAAGTTTTAGGTATGCAGCTTTGCAAGAGAACATGGGGCAGGGTGAGCAAGGGATTGATGAGGAGGAGGAGGGAGGGAGATATGGGAGTCAAGCAGATGGCTTGCTGTCTGCAAACCCACACACCGAGCAGGAACTGCATGGGAGACTGTTGATCAATGGCTTGGACAAGACTGGCATGGCTGGTGCTGGTGGAGCTTCAAGCTCTGCTGATGCTGCTACAGGGGCTTGTACAAGTGAGGAGCATCCAGGCGTGTTGACAGAGGAGACAGTTCGGATGCATGGTTTGGATGGCATTGCTGAGTGTGAGGAGGAGGGTAGAGGGGCGGACTCTGGGGGTGGTGATGACAGGGATGGGTCACAGAGTGAAGCTGGGTCGACAAGTTCGAGTAGACGCGGGGAGGGCAAGGGAGGAAGCAGGAAGTCGACGCGCAAGCTGCATGAGAACGAGTGGGTGGAGCAGCCGGAGCAGGGGGTGTACATCACGCTCTCTAAGCTGCCTGGCGGTGGAACAGAGTTGAGACGTGTCAGATTCAGGTGCGTGAATAGCTATAATCAGCAATTGGTGGGGAAAGTTTTTGCTTATGTGTTATTGTGTCTCTTATTGTTTTTGTTTTTGTTAACTGTGGCGTGGGTGTCTGTCGATGCAGCCGGAAGCGCTTTATTGAACGGCAAGCGGAAACGTGGTGGGCACAGAACAAGACTCGAGTTATGGAAATGTATACCATTAAGAGCACTCATAAGAGATCAGCAGGAGAGGTTAGCTCAGTGGTAGACATTTAGAATGATGTATGCCATGTGATAATAAACGAGAGATCAAGAAGTGCTTAACGTAATGCTCAATGCTAGGGCTCTGTATAAATACAACTGATATTTTGTTACGAGTGCAATTGAGTGAACGAACGAGAATTGCACTATCGAAACAAGAGTACAATGAGCGAAGGCATGAGCGAAGAATATACAGCGAAACTATAGTGGTAACGGTAATGGACTGTGGTTGTCGCGTGACGGGCCTGGGACTGAGGTTGGGAAAAGTGTCGAAGCGGAGGCCCGGAGCGCGGGTTACTCGCCGAGCCGTGAGGTCGGGGTGCGACGTGCGAAGATGGCGGGCAGATTGTTGATACGAGGGTTGCGAGTGGTAACGGTGCTGACTGTGGTGCTATAGTGATGTACGCGTTGAGCAGGGATGCGAAGTAAGGAAAAGGAATGTTCCTTACACTACCCCTCCCTTAAGGAGGTCCTCCTTACGAGAGTGCGTGTACATCCCTGAAATTTCGGCTGCGCAGATACTCGGTGAGGACGGGGTGGTTTTCGATTCTGTCCAGGGGAACCCAATTGTCTTCGGTGGGTGTACGGTCCTTCCAGCGGAGTAAGAACTCGATCCTTCGGGCTCCTTGAGGGTCGCGAACTCTGTGACTCCGGATTTTTTCGGGGGTGATGATTGGTTCAGTCGGTGGTCTTGTCATGCTGGCTGGGCGATTGCGTGGCAGTTGGCTCGTGGACGGGACGTAAGGGCGAAGCAGGCTGACGTGGAATGAGGGGCTGACGTACCAGTCAGCAGGGAGGAGGAGGTGGGCGGTGACAGGTGTAAGCATGTGGCTTATGCGAAATGGCCTGCAGTATCGGGGGCGGAGTTTCGGGGTGATGGGCAGTCGGAGATTTTGGGTGTCGAGCAAAACTAAGTCGTCGGGCTGGTAAGTGACAGGTCTGCGGTGGCGGTCGGCGTTGCGTTTAGCGATGATGTTAGCTTTTTTAATTGCGTCTGCTGCCCTGGTCCGTGCTGCTTGCAAAATTTTGGCGAACTGTTGCGCGCGTGGAACCGGGTTGTCGGGATTCGGGGTCATGGGTACTGTTGGGTCTTGTCCGTAATTCAGGTAAAACGGTGACTGTTGGGTCGTGGCGGATGGGGCGTTGTTGTATGCGAATTCGATGAGTGGCAGTTGCTGTTCCCACGTGTTTGGGTCGTCGCACGTGGCTCGAATGAGATGTTCCATGGTCTGATTTGTCCGTTCTGTCTGTCCGTCTGTTTCGGGGTGGTATGATGAACTAAACTGTAGTCGCGTGCCGAACTGCTGCCACAGGTTCCGCCAGAAGTTGCTGGTGAATTTCGTGTCTCTGTCGCTCATGATTGATGCTGGTATCCCGTGCAGTCGAACGACGGTAGAGATGAAGAGGCGGGCTGTTTCTTCGGCTGTGATTGATTTTTTGCAGGCTGCGAAGTGTGCCATTTTCGTCAGTCGATCGACGACGACCAGGATCGCGTCATTTCCTCTCGCCCCGGCCGGTAACCCCGTGACGAAGTCCATCGTCACCTACTGCCAAGGACGCTCTGGAGGTGGGAGTGGCTGCAACTGTCCCGCCGGCCGCTTCCGTGTTGACTTCATGATCTGGCAAGTGGGACACGATGCCACGTGTCGCTGCATGTCGGTCAACATTTCGGGCCAGTAATAATACCGCTGCAGCTGCTGCCGTGTTTTCTCTACCCCAAAATGTCCCAAGGTAACCCCGTCGTGTGCCTCTTGTAATAGTAATTCCCGTAGCAGTGTGTACCCTGGTACCCAGATGCGGTCGGTCCCGGCTTTTACGTAATAGACTCCCTTGGCTGTTGCGAACTGCTGCGAATTTCCTCCTGTGAAGAATGGGTCCGTTTGATATCCGTGGGTAAATAGTCCTGTCAGTAGCGGGCTGGTCTGGGCGAGTAGTATCGCGTGGATCTGGGCAGTGGGGCGGGTCAGTGCGTCGGCGATGTTCGAGGCTCCTTTTTTATAGGTGACTGTGTAGTGGAAGTTTGACTCGAGGAAATCGAGCCACCGAATCTGTCGTGGGTTGAGGTTGGGCTGTGCGCGGAGGTACTGTAGTGATCGGTGGTCTGTCTGTACTGTCACGTCTGCGCCGGTCAAGTAGCAGCGCCACATTTTGAACGCATGCACGATCGCGAGCATTTCGCGGTCGTGTATCGGGTAATTTTGCTCGGGCGGATGCAGTTTTCGTGACTCGTATGCGATGGGCTGTAGGCCGTTGCCGAAGTCCTGTAGCAGTACGGCTCCAATGGCGATGTGGCTTGCGTCTGTAACAACCTCGAAGGGGCGGTGTGGGTCGGCGATGCGCAGGACGGGCGGTGAACAGAGAACATTTTTCAGGGCAGAGAAGGCAGCATGCTCTTTCTCCCCCCACGTAAAAACGACCCCTTTTCGCAGTAAATCCGTCACCGGGGCAGTCAAATGTGCCATGTCGGGGACGAACCGGCGAACATAATTAACGAACCCTAAAAAACTCTGCAGTTCCGTGATGTTCGTCGGGGGACGCCACGCTTTTACCGTATCCAACTTCTTTGGGTCGATTTCAACTCCAGCCTCCGAAATAACGTGCCCCAAAAATTCTAGTCAGTCCCGAAAAAACTCGCACTTAGAGCCCTTGGTTAGTAACCGATGTTCCGCTAAAACTTTAAATACTGCTTCGAGATCCGCTAAATGTTGCTGCTTGTCGCGACTGTAGACGAGGATGTCGTCGAGGTAAACTATCACGCATTTATCTAAGAGTGGCCTAAACACCTCGTTCATGGTCATCTGGAATGTTGTGGGCACGTTGGTCAGCCCGAAAGGCATCACCACGTACTCAAACGACCCGTACCTAGTCCTAAATGTTGTCTTGGCGCAGTCCGATGGTTCGACCCGAATCTGATGGTAACCCCCCCGTAAGTCTATTTTCGAAAACACCCGTGCTGTTCGCAGCTGGTCGATCAGCTCGTCGGCGCGGGGAATGGGGTACCGCGACTTGACTGTTACCCTGTTGAGCGCTCGGTAATCGATGCACATGCGAAACCCTCCGTCTTTTTTCGGTGTGAATAGTATCGGTGCCGGCGAACGGTGACGAACTTGGTCGAATAAACTGCTTCTCTAACAAATAATCTAACTGCTTCCTCAGTTCGTCGAGCTCGGGTTGTGTCAGTCTGAACTGGCGCTGTACAGTTGGTTGTGCCCCCGGTTCTAACTCGATCCTATGATCATGCGCCCGCTGAGGTGGCAGCCCTTCCGGTAAGTTGTCTGGAAAAATCCCCGGGTACCGTTTCAACAGTTCATGTAGTTCGGGCGGTACTGCTGCCAACAGTTTCTGAAAATCGCTCGGCTGCTCCGCTTCTCCTACTAATGCTATATCTACTGCGTACACGGCAGCTCCAGCGGCGACAACCCGTTTCATCGTGATGGCGTTGACGTGGACCGTTGACGACTCGGGCGACTGCCAGCGAGGTAGCATGACCCAGTTACCGCTACTTCGCACAATGCAGCTACCCGTTGTCCAGTCGATTCGTGGGTTGTACCGTCGTAGCCAATCACGTCCCAGTAAAACATCATGCCCATCCAATGTCGTCGCGAGCATTTCCTGTGTAGACCCTAAGTTTCCCCCGCAGCGAATTTTTACTCTCTCCACCTTCTCCCGTATGGCCAGCGGCGTGCCGTCAACTAAGCGTGCGTCGATCTCAAGTAAGCAGCGACTAAGTGTCAGTTGTATTTTTCGCGCAGTTGCAGTATTAACTAAACTGTGGCTTGCTCCTCCGTCAATAAAAATCTTCACTGCTGCTCCCTGTATTTTCCCGTGGATCAGTACTGGGCAATCCGTCGTTGTACCCTCCTTATTCATCCGAGCCCGATCGATGGCGTGAATCGGTACTGTGACTCGGTGAGGGTCGGTGCGGTTCGGCGAGCAGGCAGTCTCATCAGTAGTTGGCCCAACTTCTACTGACTGTTGGCGTTTCCCTGCCTCTGAGACTCCCTCCCCTGCTCTGCTCCGCGGCGCCTTAGCTCCTCTGGGCATTCGCTCTTGCGATGGCCCGGCCTATTGCAAGCAAAGCAGCGCCCCTTAAACGGTACGGCAGTTGCATTCGTAACAGCGTTTACAGTGGCGTGCTCGATCGGTCCCCGAGGACGATGTCCGTAGTAGGACCCCGGTCCCGGTCGGCGTAGAATGTCGATTTTCTCGGCGAGCGCGAGAATCTCGTTGAAGTTCGAGAGCCCGCATAGCATGATTTCATGCGAGATGTCCGGCTTCAGCCCTCCGACGTAACGGTCCACCCGCTCTGCTTCGTGCATGCAGCCGACCTGCTCGCAAAGTGCGAGAAAGCCGCTCGTGTAATCTTGAACCGACCCGAGCTGCCGCCAAGTGCGCAATCTCTGACGCGCCGAAATAGAACCCGCGATCGGCTCGAAGCGCGCCCGAAGCCCTGCGCACCACGCATCCCACGTGTTGTATTGGGCGGTCTCGCAGAATGAACTCCATGTGACAGCTGGACCCGTGGGCCCTTCCTCTTGCGACGGTGGCTCGTAGGCGCGTGGCGACGTCACGATGACTCGCCACCAGTCCATGGCGGGACCCCTTAACAGCGAAACGGCATACCGAATCTTCGATGCGCCCGACTCGACGTAATTCGCGTCGAAGAAGACGTTCATCGTGAAAACCCACGATTGAACCGTCGGACCTCCACGCTAGCTCGGGTCGAAGCAGGGCGGGCGTTGCGGCTTGAGTGGCATTGGTGCCATGATGGCCTGTTCGCCACTTGTCGCCGCGAACTCCACGTGCCGACGGGCTTCGCGAGGCTCCCGCGGGCTTGGTGCGACCCTGTTTCCTCCCATGCCAGGCATCGGCTGGGCGGCGCCATCGCTGGCTGCGCCTGAGCGTTGTCCCACGCTGTTGTTTTGTGTTGGTGTGCCGGACGAGATGACGATCGGCTCGTCTGATTGTGCAGATACATTTGTCGGTGCGTGTGGTGGCGCTGAAGTGTTTGTCGTTGATCGCGGACGCGCGGAGTCACGTTCCGCCGTGAGCGTCGCAATTTCGAGCGCCGAATCTTCGAGTTGGCGCACCAGACGGTCGAGCTGCTCCTGCGTCAATGTGGTGAGCGTGAATTCGGCCATGGCGGGGTTGTCGGGCGAGCTTAGCGAGAGCCTCAGTCGTGGCCGTGCGTGCTTACGAGAGAGCACTACGAGCGGCGGTGCTGTGTCGTTGAGAGACCCCCAAAAATTGAGATAGTGGGGAAGCGAAGGTGTGGGTGCGGTCCGAGAAGAGATCGTAGGCTCTGATACCAAGTGTTACGAGTGCAATTGAGTGAACGAACGAGAATTGCATTATCGAAACAAGAGTACAACGAGCGAAGGCATGAGCGAAGAATATATAGCGAAACTACAGTGGTAACGGTAATGGACTGTGGTTGTCGCGTGACGGGCCTGGGACTGAGGTTGGGAAAAGTGTCGAAGCGGACGCCCGGAGCGCGGGTCACTCGCCGAGCTGTGAGGTCGGGGTGCGACGTGCGAAGATGGCGGGCAGATTGTCGATGCGAGGGTTGCGAGTGGTAACGGTGCTGACTGTGGTGCTACAGTGATGTACGCGTTGAGCAGGGATGCGAAGTAAGGAAAAGGAATGTTCCTTACATATTTCAATAATTATATTCGCTACAGTCCGTGCGCCTGAGTCAACGCCATGAGATGTTCCGTACAAACCGCACTTGCTCGCCAACTCACAACTGGTAGTTGGGTGCCAGAAGCACTCGACTTCCTGTTGAAACCGTAGAGTAAATGCTATGACCCGAGCCGTCTAGTTTAGGTAATTGCTGCTATCCGTACTTTCTAGTGGAACAGGCTTGCTTGACTCGCGTACCCTTCTATTTCGTATAGCTTCTTTAGTTTCGGTGGGTTTGCAGCAGGGTGATGGTTCTCAGCAGCTGACACATGTAAGGATTTAGCTACGAGTAAGTTGATGACGTTACTCATTTGACATGAACCTCTGCATTCCCGTTTATGTCGAGCTGCTGTAGCCGTCAAAATGTTAAATGATTCTCGCTGTCTGTTTCCGGCCTTTCTCGTTTGATTTCTGTCTTGAGATTGTACTCAGCAGCATCAAAAGCAGCAATAACAGCAGCATCAGGCAGCATCCGCTGCCACATTTTCATGGATCCTTATGCATCGGTAAGTTGGGGTTTCCGTTACCATCTGTCATTTTTTCGTTGGAACAGCGGTAAGCGAGTCATTCTCTTACTTACTGTGAGTGAAACTTGGGCGACCATTAGAGCGTGAATTGTGAAATCTTGCAGATTTTTGGCAGATATCAATGTCTCGAGATTCACTTGTAGTTTGACCCGGCAGGTATTATTGTCTTTGGTTCTTCCTTCACTCTGTACCTCTCTCCCTGCTTTGTTGGTGGGTCTCAGGGAATCAGACGGACTAGACCGCAAACACCTCCTCCCCAGCCTCTCAACCTACGGTCTGAGGAGGATGAGCTGAGAGAGAAGATCTCACGTGTTGACAGTAAAATCTCTAGGCTTGAAGCAAAGAAAGAACGGTGTTTAGGACGTCTGCATGCGATAGAGGTTCGCAAGGAGCAGCACCAAGATGCAGGGCAATGAAGTTACAGGGAGGAGAATCGGGTTTACAACGTGATGCATAGTGAACGTGCTTCATGATTCAAGGTGCGAGTTTTTGCACAGGGGGGGGGGACTGTTGCCAATAAATAGAGCAACAAGGGGGATTACTCATCCCAAGGTGGCTGTCAACAATGCAGATCGTAGAGGCCGAGTAATTCTCCTACAGGCGGTGACTCAGATGGCAGGTAGTTTTGAAGGGCTGATTGGGGGTTGGAAATTGGAATGCAGAACTTGAATGGGGCGCTGCTCAAGGTGTGGGTGGGTCCTGTAGTGGACATGCGGGCTTAGGTTATGTTCTTTACGTCTGTAATTGGGTTTGGCTCATGTCTGTCGTAGCAGGTCTTTCATATGATCTGCTTACAATTCTCCATTCTTGTCCAATGTTGGTCTGAGGCATAATAACATATGTAATTGTATAATGTACATAATATTTTGCTGTTACACTCTCGTCGTCAATCCAATTAGGGAAGGAGTAGAACAAAAGGGCAGAAGGGTTCCGTCCAAACCAATGCCCCGACCAGACCAGATCAAGGTTTCTTCTGAGCCATGGTCGTGTCTCGCATTCCACCATCCCCTAACGTAGAATCGCTGACCGTCGTTCACGTCTCCACATAGGCGCTTGCGTGTTGTAGCGCGCAATAGTAGGGCTCGCTTTGCCATGGATTCTTGGAGGAGTTCCGTGGCTGGCGGAGGGGCCTCGCAGTACTCCCAGGTGCTCATAATATTCGAATCTAACACGTTTCTTGTGGATTTCGCAGTTATTCTCGGTTTCTTATTTAGGGTTCAGTCGTGCGAGTCGTGGATCTGGAGCTTGAGTTGTAGATCGATACCGATGCGCACATAATCTTTGTTTCTAGACGTCTGTTTCTAATAGTTGATGATTTTCGTAGACATATGGTATATTTATGCTCACCGTGAAGGTTTCTTACCTAGCTTACGCATGTCCTAACTCTGATAAGGCTCTGTTGCCTTCTTTGTTTTTTTTTCGCGATTTTGCAGCAGGGTTATTCCTTGCAACAACTGACACCAGTAAGTCCCTGGCTGTACTTGTTCCCATCATTTCCTTCACTATGGCATCCTCTTTTTGTTCCAGATTACTGATTCCATTGAAATTGACAGCGAGCTCGTTCTCGGCCTCAGAATGATGATGAACCTGTAATATTCCAACTTTCCTTGGTTTCCTGGTGGATTTTTGTCTGCTATTTCATTGAGCAGCAGCAGCAACAGCAGGTGGCATCCACTACGCCTGCGGCAGCAGGAGGGACCGGCCAGTACTACACGTACCAGTCGCTTGCTGCTTATGGCACCCAGGGGCAGCAGCAGCAGCAAGCGCAGCAGGCGGGACAGCAGCAGCAGGTTTCTTACACCCAGGGTGCTTCGGCTGCGTCGGTATGTATTACGGAGAAGATTCGTCTATGTAGCGGTTACATTTCTCCCGATTTTGTAGCAGTTTTCCCAGCTATTCTGTTTAGAATGTAAGCGTTTTTTGTTGGTTCGACACGCGTTTATCAGTTTTAAGTCTTCCGTCTGACTCTTCTCGTCATCCGTCCGTCGCCTCTCGCCGTCCGCCTGTCGTCACCCACTTCCTCGCAGCCACTTCTTGTACCGCCTTCGATGATCCCTCGTCCTCCTCCCCCTCACCTCCTTCCCCCTTCACCCTTATCTGATTCCTTCCCGCGCTGTAACAGGCCAACCCCTATTCCTCTCTCTCCTCGTTCGCCACCACCGTTGACGGAACGTCCAAGTATTCCGCCGGCGCGCAGGCAGTCGCTGCAGCCTACGGCCTCGATATTTCCAGCGGTGCGGGAACCGCCGGCGGTTCTTCCGCGTACGGTGGGTATGGCGTGGGGACGACTGCTGCTACTCCTGCCGCTGCTGGAGGGACGTTCAGCTTCGACCCCAAGACGGGAGCCTACTACCAGGACGCGTCATCAACGGTAAGAAGACTGTAGCTTATCAGTGTGATTCAGCAACGTTAGGAATCTGTGCTCGCATTGTGCTCCTTTCGCGCGTCTGCTTTGCTTCACTTCTGTGGCTTGCTATTATGACGCCATATAGCTCCACATTGTGTAAAGCATGCGCTTACAACGCCATTGAAGAGGATTGCTGTCATCAAATCTGCTCTAATGAGAAACATTTCGCTGTGCTTCTTTGCTGCTTGTGTTGATGTGAGCAGTACCAGCAGCAGCAGGGCGCGGGGGGAGCGTCGGCCATCGGACTGGCAGCAGCAGCAGCGTCCATGCAGCAGGCCATGGCGACGCAGCAGCAGGCAGCTGCAGCTCAGCAGCGGTAAGCGTTTCTTCGCATGCTGAGCGGTCAGTCACTTGCGATCTTTTTTGTCTCCAATTCTGCAACTCTTTTTAAATGTGGCGTCGCAAAGAGTTTTTTCTTTCAGTTACTGCCATCACACCGTTGTTTCTTGTGCCTGCTCCTCGCCTCTCCCCCTGCTCGACGCTTCTTCCTCCCCTCCCCCAGCGTCTACACGGCGACGGACAGCTACGGGCAGCAGCTGCTGGTCACGGCGCCCGCGGCCGCGTCAGTGGGAGGAGGGCAGCGGCAGATCGTATACACCACAGGCGTGCAGTACGACGCCGCTGCTGCCGCCGGCGGTGCCACGCCCGTTATGCTAACTGCCGCGGGTCCCGGGTACGCTGCCATGGGGGGAGGCGTGTCGGGCATGGGTGCGGGGAGCGTTCCGTTCCAGCAGCAGATGGCCGTGGCGATGCAGCAGCAGATGCAGCAGCAGCAGCAACAGCAGCAGCAGCAGCAGCACGTGCCGGCGCAGGGGTTTTCACAGCCGCATCCCACGCCTCAGGGCTTCCACGGTATGCTTTCTGTGCCCCCCCCCACGCTTTCGTCCTCCCTTCAACCCCCCCGCTCTCCTCTCCCCCCCCCTCCTTCACCCCCATCCCCCCTCCTCCATCCCGCCCGCCCGCCCACTTTGCGTTCGCTTTCTCGCCCACCCTCCCTCGTTCTGCCGCGTTTTCGTTTCGACTGTCAGTTATGCATACTGACATTTGGATCTGCCTGTTATCGTGGTGCTTCAGGCCGCGACTACTCTGCACCCAAAGCATCTGCCCCTGCCGGCCGAACCTCAGGTCCCGCTGCGGACTCCGGATTCCAGACCAGCAAGGCATGGCCGGGTGCTCGAGATGAAAGGGGGAGAGGCGGAGAGGGGGATTGGCGGAAAGGTGCGGAGAGGGAGCGAGGGGCTTTTGGGAGGGACAGGGCGGCTGTTCCGGAGCGGGAGCGGGAGAGGGATAGGCCTAAGGATAGGGAGCGGGATAGGGAGAGGGAGAAGGAGAGGGAGCGCGAGAGGGAAAAGGCGAGGGAGCGTGAGCGTGAGAGGGAGAGGGAGAGAGAGCGTGAGCGGGCTCGGGATAGGGAGAGAATCAGGGAGAGGGAGGAGAGGGAGAGGGCTCGTGAGAAGGATAGGAAGGAGCGAGATCACGGGGACAAGGACAAGGAGAAGGAGAGGGAGAAGGAGAGGGAGGAGAGGAGGAAGGCAGGCGGTGGCAGGGAGGCGGCTGCTGCTGGAGCGGCTAGGAAGGACGAGCGCGACTATCACAGGCACAGGTGCGCAGGTCCATAGGGGTAAGGTGGTGCCCTAATGACGCTTGTACAGGTGCATGCTCTGCTGGCGTACAGGATCCGTGTATCATTTCATAGTTGGATGTGATTGCGCATGTGATTGTTTTCAAATGTGCGATGTGGCTAGCTGCATTACGAGCTGCTGATGCTTGTCGCAGCAATCTGTTTGCCTGTATACCGTCTGCTTCAACGATCTGGCCGTGCTGGGCTCGGTTTTGCACGGAAATCCATGACGCGCTGGTGTTATGCTGTGCTCCTCCCTGACTCACTGCAGGTCCCCGCCCCGTGACTACTACCGCCCCTACTCGTGCAAGGTCAGTCTTTTTCGTTCCCAAACTGTTTTGCTTCCAGATTCGCTGCAAGTCATGTACCCTCTCTGCAAATCATCTCTTTTTGCCCAGCGTCAGATAGAAAGGGTGGCGGCTTTGAGTCGTCGTTATTTCTCGTCAAGCCACCTTCCCGTTTCACTCTCTGCCTCGCCCGTTCTTATTTTTGCCTTAACAGCCAATCCTTTTCCCTCTGTTCCTCGGCCCTCTTCCCAACCTAATGTCTTCCCAGATTGAGCCGTTCCCATTCGCGGAGGTGGAGAGGGGGTACCTGAGCATCTGCAAGCGCTACCCGCGCCTCTACGTGCCAGCTGACTTCTGCAAGGTGTGTTTATTTGACTGACTGTTGCATGCGCTCCTGACGTGTATCGGACGTTTGGAGAATGCAGAAGTCGATTCGCCTGCTTCTGATAGGATAGTGCTCTTGATTGGTGCAAGTCGAGCGATTGGGTGTTGCACTGCAACCTTTTGACACGCGTGTAGCGGATCTCTTTTAGAAATTCTTCCCTTCTACCTCCCTGTTTTCTTTTATTATTTCCCACGTGCAGGCACGAGCAGTGTGGCCTACTCACTCCACGCCACTGCCACTCTTCACTCCTGTCAGGTACGCTTTTCCCAACCCTATTCAGATTGCTGCTGCTGTGCGCTTTCATGCTCGTTTGGTTGCCCTCTTGCCACCTGCCAGTCCATACAATGCTAGAGCGGGGAGTGGGAGACGCTGCTGGCATGCTTCTCTCAGTGACTCAAGGCAGCCAGCTTCAGCATGCTAGCGCCGAGCACATTGCTCTTCGGGGTTGTTGGTGGCTGTTGGTTCAGTCCAGCTCCTGGCTCTGCTTTACCCCTGCGAATTCTGCTGCTGCTCCTCCTTCTGCTGCGTCTGCTGCTGCTGTGACTTGGAGAGCTTCGTGTTGCGCGTCCTCGTCCTCATCCTCTGCTCGTTTCTCCTGTAATCACAACAGCTAAGCTCAGCCGCCAACTCTTAATCTAATCCGGATGGCATTCTGTGCATTATGCGTGGTGGCGTTTTGTGCGCTGCCCATTGCCCACTGCCCACAACCCATGGATGGATGGATCATGCATGGATGGATGGACGGCCGGATCAGCTTCGAGCACGACTCAGTAGAGGTAGAATCTGACGACTCTGCAACCACCGCTGCGGCATCAACGTCTCCTGCTGGAGCAACCGTCGGCACTGCGTCTATTCCGAGCAAGGGAGACTCTGCAGTGAAGGCAGAGCCAGAGGAGGGAGCACAGGTCACAGAAGTGAAGGGTGAGGTTCAGGGCATGGCAGAGGACGGCAGTGGCACTCCTGCAGGGCAGTCGGCTGGTGCTGCAACAGCGACGGCTGGGGAGTCGCCTCCAGAGGACACGTCTATGGCTACGGCGAATGAGAGCTGTGGCTTTGCCACGTCGCCTGCCCACTCTGCTGCTGCTCCCTTTGGGCTTAAGCTGCCCATGCTGTGGACTGTCAAGGTGAGAGCGTCAGCCACTCCTCTCCACTCCGCACGTCCCTGGTGTGGTGTGTGTGTGCGTGTGTGTGGGCTGAGTGTGTGTGTGCGTGTCTGGCTCTGCAATGCGCCATCTGCATGCGCGAGCAGCAAGAGGAGTGCAAAGATTCTGCGACGCCACACCTTCCAATCGTCCCACGCCGCTCTCCACCGCTCCCTTCCTCCAACCCCCGCTACTCTCGGTTCCACCACTCCCCATCACCCCCTCGTCCCGTATGGGCTGCTCGGGCCACTTTCCTCCTAAGTCGTGCCCCCTTCCCTGACATCCCATCAGGTGCTGCTGATGAGCGGCCTGGACGCGCCAGCCCTGGCCCAGATCACGTCAGACAAGCCCCCTTCGCCCCACGAGCGCCCCCCGCACACCAACCACGCGCTGCGATTCGTCTGCATGCGCCGCGACCGCGATCCCATCTCAGCCATTGGCGGGCGCTGGGAGGCGGAAACGGACAGTGGAGATCCGAGCAAGGAGGACTCTGGGCTCGTGCGAGCTGCGATCAGGTGTGAGTGAGGTACATTAGAGCAAAATCCCGAATGCCTGTTCGGTTCGCCTCGAACATGTTCGAGGCGAACCGAACAGGCATTTTTTTTTGCCTAAATCGTTCGAGGCGAACATGTTCGGTGTTCGGCCGAACATGTTCGCCGTTCGCCATTGATTTTTGGCTAAGGGAATTCGAACACGAACGCATTCGTGTTCGAATTGGGTGCCCCGCGAACACAAAAGTGTTCGCGTCAAAATTGGCCGCGACCAATTTTAGGTCGCGGCCGTTTTGAGTTTGAGCTCATTTCGTGAGCTCAAACTCAAAACGCCTTTAGCGCTTAGCCCTCTCTCACACAACCGCCCTAGCCTTGCGGTTTTAATAGCTATCGCACACCTTACATCGTTCATCTACACGGACATTAGGGTTAGGGTAGTTCGTAGTGTAGGGTGTTTGTGTGAACATTAGTGTTCAGAAGCATAGGGATCAAGCACCAAGCGGTCAAGGTGTCAAGTTGTAGAGACGGCGTTTCACAATATGACCACTGTGACTATATCGAATTTTCCCTTTGGCGAACTCGAACATGTTCGAGTTCGCCTGCTGCAACAATTCGTTCGCCCCCTAGGGCGAACGGCGAACACCTGTTTTCGCCCAAATAGTTCGCCGAACCGAACACTGTTCGGTTCGGTAGAAGTCGATGTTCGATAGGGGGCGAACTCGAACATGTTCGAGTTCGCCCTCTGCTCATCCCTAGTGTGAGGGGAACGCAGTCTGCAGGGGGCAGGGGCTGTTTGAAGCAACAGCTTAGGGTTGCATGTGAGCATGCCAGGTCCGAGCGTATCCCACATGCCGCCATCCGCGAAACTTCTATTGCAAGTTGCCTCGACGCTCCCGTGCTTGTCGTATGCAGCAATTAAAGCTCTCCTTTCTCGTATGCAGAGTTCTCACCTGATCCTTCAAAACTGCTCCTGTGGCAGGTTTGTGAAGGCAACAGTGCGTGTGGATCTGAGCGCATGCAAGGACTGGGCGCGGCTTGTCGACGTGCGTGCTTGCTCTTGCTTGCTCCTCCTGGATGCCCATGCCAATTCCTGCATCTACGGCTGGCATTCTGTCTTGTTCATGTGGTTCTGTCACGAGCTGCTTCCATTGATTGATTCATGTTTACCTTCATTCTTCTTGCCCCTCGCCCATCGGTCTGCACATTCCTGCCTTGTTGCCCTTGCGCCTTATCCGTCCCTTACCTTTTTTTTCTCCGTTCCCTTTGTTTCTTCTACTTCCTATCTGACTGCCAGGTGGTTTACATGCGATCTGATAGCCACGGCAAGCCGACCAACCTTGAGACTGTGGTCTACCTCTTGCCGAACCTGTCGGAGTGCCTTCCGAGCCTGGAGGATTGGAAGAAGTCTGTGAAAGAGCTAGAGGGGAAGAGGAAGGCGATTGAAGAGAAGGAGCGGAAGGAGAAGGAGAGGAGGGACAAGGAACGGAAGGAGCGTGAGAAGGAGAAGGAGAAGGAGAAGGAGAAGGAGAAGGAAAAGGAGAAAGAAAAGGAGAAGGAAAAGGAGAAGGAAAAGGAGGAAACTGGGAAGGAGAAGGAGAACGATGAGAAGGAGAAGGAGACCAGTGATAAGGGCAAGCAGGAGAAGGAGGAGGAGAAGGAAAAGGAGAAGGAGAAGGAGAAGGAGGAGGAGAAGGCTAAGGAAGAAGGCTCTGCAGCGGCAGTCAAGGGAGCAGCAACGGATGCGACAAAGGAGGGCAAAGAGGGCAAGGATGGAGCAGAGGGCTCAGGTGATGGAGAGAAGGCAGAGGGCAGTGAGGCGAAGGAGGGAGCAGGGAAGGAAGGCGAGGAGAAGGACAAGGAAAAAGAGGAGAAGGAGAAGAAAGAGAAAGAGGAGAAGGAAAAGAAGGAGAAAGAGGAGAAGGAGAAGAAAGAGAAGGAGGAGAAGGAAAAGGCAAAGGCGAAGGAGATCACGAATCCTGGTTTCGTCCTGGTTTCCTCACGCACTAAGACCGTCAAGGTGTGCCCCCAAACCTCATCAGCCCAGTCCTCAGCAACCCCATACTCCTTGTTCCTCTCGCTGAATTGCCTCCGGTCACCCTTTTTGGTCACGCTTCCACCATCATCACCCCCTCTCCACACCCACCCCTCCTCGTCCAGTTCCATCCCATAGTTGTTGCTCGTGCTTCCTGTTTTGCTGACCATATCGGCTCTTACACCTTCGAACCCCTCCATCCCGCACCCCGCTCTGTGTGCCTTCATGGCGGCAGGTGAAGACGCTCACCATGTCTCTGGATGGGCTGCTGGGCTATGATGATCATTCTTGCGACTATAACATCATCTTCCACCCCTTCCTCCCTCCCTCTTTGCCGTGCGTGGCGGCAGGTGAAGACGCTCACCATCTCTCTGGATGGGCTGCTGGACTATGATGAGGAGGACAGGGACGAGTCTTCCTTCGAGGTGTGTGCCTGTTATCTGTGCGGTGCATTACAGTGCAGTGCGGTACAGTGTGATGCCATTGTGTATTTTGCTGTCACTGTTTGTGAAGCCATCTGCGAGTATTTGAAGGGTTGAAAGTGCTTCTGCTCCTAACCATCCCATCCCCTCGTTCTTCTCCCATCCCCTTTGTTCCCTCTCCCGGCCCCCTTGCCTCTCCCATCCCCTTGTTCACCTCCCGTTCCCTCTTTCCTCTCCCATCCCCTTGCTTCCCTCTCCCGTTCTGTCTTTCCTCTCATCCCCTTGCTTCCCTCTCCCGTTCTGTCTTTCCTCTCATCCCCTTGCTTCCCTCTCCCGTTCTGTCTTTCCTCTCATCCCCTTGCTTCCCTCTCCCGTTCCCTCTTTCCTCTCCCATCCCCTTGCTTCCCTCTCCCGTTCTGTCTTTCCTCTCATCCCCTTGCTTCCCTCTCCCGTTCTGTCTTTCCTCTCATCCCCTTGCTTCCCTCTCCCGTTCTGTCTTTCCTCTCATCCCCTTGCTTCCCTCTCCCGTTCTGTCTTTCCTCTCATCCCCTTGCTTCCCTCTCCCGTTCTGTCTTTCCTCTCATCCCCTTGCTTCCCTCTCCCGTTCTGTCTTTCCTCTCATCCCCTTGCTTCCCTCTCCCGTTCTGTCTTTCCTCTCATCCCCTTGCTTCCCTCTCCCGTTCCCTCTTTCCTCTCCCATCCCCTTGCTTCCCTCTCCCGTTCTGTCTTTCCTCTCATCCCCTTGCTTCCCTCTCCCGTTCTGTCTTTCCTCTCATCCCCTTGCTTCCCTCTCCCGTTCTGTCTTTCCTCTCATCCCCTTGCTTCCCTCTCCCGTTCTGTCTTTCCTCTCATCCCCTTGCTTCCCTCTCCCGTTCTGTCTTTCCTCTCATCCCCTTGCTTCCCTCTCCCGTTCTGTCTTTCCTCTCATCCCCTTGCTTCCCTCTCCCGTTCTGTCTTTCCTCTCATCCCCTTGCTTCCCTCTCCCGTTCTGTCTTTCCTCTCATCCCCTTGCTTCCCTCTCCCGTTCTGTCTTTCCTCTCATCCCCTTGCTTCCCTCTCCCGTTCTGTCTTTCCTCTCATCCCCTTGCTTCCCTCTCCCGTTCTGTCTTTCCTCTCATCCCCTTGCTTCCCTCTCCCGTTCTGTCTTTCCTCTCATCCCCTTGCTTCCCTCTCCCGTTCTGTCTTTCCTCTCATCCCCTTGCTTCCCTCTCCCGTTCTGTCTTTCCTCTCATCCCCTTGCTTCCCTCTCCCGTTCTGTCTTTCCTCTCATCCCCTTGCTTCCCTCTCCCGTTCTGTCTTTCCTCTCATCCCCTTGCTTCCCTCTCCCGTTCTGTCTTTCCTCTCATCCCCTTGCTTCCCTCTCCCGTTCTGTCTTTCCTCTCATCCCCTTGCTTCCCTCTCCCGTTCTGTCTTTCCTCTCATCCCCTTGCTTCCCTCTCCCGTTCTGTCTTTCCTCTCATCCCCTTGCTTCCCTCTCCCGTTCTGTCTTTCCTCTCATCCCCTTGCTTCCCTCTCCCGTTCCGTCTTTCCCCTCCCATCCCCTCTCTTCCCTCTCCTGGCCCCTCTTTTCCTCTCCCATTCCCTCGTTCCTCTCCCGTCCCCTCTCTTTCCAATCCCGCCCATGATGCGTGCACTGCAGCTGGGAGTGGTGGCAGAAAGCATCAGCGAGTACATACAGGAGCGAGCGGGCCGAACCATCTTCACGCACCTGCAGGTCAGCAGCACGCAAGTGCAAAAGGGTGGCTTTCAGATGGTTTGAAGTACGGATATGGAGTTAGTATTTTTGCCATGAGGCGCTATTGTGGGCTTTAGGGCTTGTGTGCTTGTTTGGAAAGCTGCACGCGTCGTTGGAGCTTTATTCATTGCCTTGTCTGACATTGAGCACGTCTTTCGACTCCTGAGTTTTAGAATTCTTTTATCTGGTTTCCTTTGCTGTTGCTTGTCCGTTTGTGTATGCTTCTCCGTTTCCCTGCCTCAGTTCCTGTATCCCTTGTCGCTTGCTAAGCGGGCCAAGGAGAAGGAGCGGGAGAGGGAGCGGGAGAAGGAGAGGGAGAGGGAGAGCCGCAAGCGCAGGCTGGAGGCTGAAGCTGCCAAGGAGAAGGCAAAGGAGAGTGGCGAGGGAGAGGGGAAAGGGGAGAAGGCGAGTGGAGATGAGGCAGCAGCTAAACGGGCGAAGGTGGAAGGCGCGGAGGGGGATGTTGAGATGGAGGTTGAGGAGGAGAAGAAAGAGGGAGAGGAGGGTGGTGTGGTGAAGAAGGAAGAGAAGATGGAGGAGGATGAGGAGAAGAAAGCTGGAGATGGGGCGGACAAGAAGGCCAGTGCTGAGCAGACGGTGAAGAAAGAGGAGCAGGTGGAGAAGGAAGGGAAGGATGAGGCGATGGAGGAGAGTGGTGCAGCGGAGGAAGAGGGGAAGAAGGCGAGTGGTGGAACGGTAGTGATTGGGCCGGCAGAGAAGGGGGCAGGAGTTACAGAGGAGGAGAAGAAAGAGAAGGAAGGCGAGGAGGGGATTGGGAAGGATGAGAAGAAGGGAAAGGAAGAGGCAAAGGAGTCGAAGGATGAGAAAAAGGAAGAGGTGAAGGAGGCGAAGGAAGAGGACTCGTGGCCCAAGTCTTCAGTGACCTCGTCTGACCTCGTCCTTGTAAGCTCGGATCCGTTCTTAACCCATTCTCTCCTGAGTTCTCACGCTTCCCCTTTCTACTTCACACTTCTCATGCGTCTTCGCCCCGTCTGGTTTAGAAAGGCACCTACTTTTCTGTCCCTCCCCAACGAGTTATGGTTAGTACTGCCACGTAGCAGATGACTCGTGCTGATTTGAGTGGTTTCCTGTGTGTGCGAAACAATGCCCACCTGCCCCCTCTCCCATGCCTGCACTTTCTGCGTGTCTGCAGGCCTTCCGCCAGTTTGACCGCAACCACACCGATTACCTCAAGGTCTGCACCTCATGGGAGACACGCGGGAGTGGGGGCGTGGGTGCAAGGGGGTGCGGGAGGTTGTGGGGAGGGAGGGAGATACGGGAGGGGGTTGTATGGGAAGTGGGTGGGGTAGTGGAGGGGTGATCAGGGGTAACAACAAAGCTGTCAGGCACTCTTGGTTCACTTTTCACTTCTCCTTCTTCTCTGTCCTCCTGTCCCCCACGTTTTTGCTTTGTCCCCTGCTCACTGCGCCTCACTCTCAGTCGGAGGATCTGCGCCGTCTGCTGCACTGCCTGGGGATCAATCTCAGCCACAAGATGGTCAAGGTGCGGAATGCATTGCATAGTGAACCATTCTTCTCTGCCACATGTGTTAACCCATTCTCCCGTGTGTTTCCCATCTTGTGTGGCTTGTTCTCTTCTTGTGTGGGCCACATTGTCTCAACGCAGTTTCTCCCTCGCATTGGTGTCTCAATGCTTCTGTCAATGCGTGCGTGCATGCATCACTCCATGCATGTCTCAACGCATGTCTCAATGCGCCATTGTGCCCATGTGTGATCGCCCCTCGCCAGGAGCTGGCGCTGGTGGGAGCGGCGGAGAGTGGGAAGCACAGGGACGAGCGCGTATACTACCGCGTTCTTGCCAACTACTGCTGCTGACCGCACTGATGCCGAAAGCACTGCTGCTGAGCGGAGCCCAACGCTGCTAAGCTGCTGCTTGATCAGCACGGTTTGTTGCTGCTCTTTGTTAGCTCCTGTGTCCCCACTGACAATCTCAGCTTCTTGCTGCAGGGCTTTCCCCAGCATCCTCGAGTCCTGACTGGCATATTAGGGAATTTTTGTATGGGTCTGGTAATTGGGCTTGCATTGCACATGGATGTGTTTGAGAGATAGCTTTTGGATTTCATGCTCAGGATTCTGGAGAGCTCATAGAAAGACGTTTTGTGCAGGACGGTTGCTTGCCCTGCCTACGCATGAGTGCATCACCCAGTTTTTGACTGCTGATCTGCAAGTTGCTTCATTTGCACCTCAACCTGGAAGCAGTTGAGCTGGTTCAATATACCGTATCACAACTGGAGTACAAAGAAAACAAAATCAGCTTTGAGAAACCTGGCGTTGAATTTGATCTAACTACCAGCAGTGCTCCACTGCATGATGTTGACAACTTCTTAGCAGGAATCTGTGGGGGCTACATAAACCTTGACAAATCCATGTCGCCCCTGCTTCTGCTTCAACTCACAGACCGCTGCCGTGGCTAGATGCACATGTGGGTGAAGCCCCTGCACGCCCATTCACATGACTGATCTAGTTATTAGTTACATCCATGTGATCTTGCTCCCCTCCTTGCCTCGCTTTACCTCCTTCCACTGCCCCGCCTTCCCTTCAGTGCTTCTTGACAGCCCCGAAGATGGACCGCCGAAACAAACTGCCCAGAGAGGAAGAGCTCCCTCCCCCCGCTGTCAAATCCCGCACCCTTGCCACTCCCCCTGCCCCTGAACCTGCCCCTGAACCTGCCCCTGTGATTCCCCCTCCAGCAGCAGCAGGGGAGGCGGCATCAGGGCCCAGGCAGAGGGCGGCAGGGGACACTCCCTTGATGGACGCTTCCAGCACTGTCAGCACCTGGTGAGTGTGCATGAGTATGGATGGGTATAGGTGGGTGTGAATGAGTGGATGTGTCCATTACATGGTGGATGCAGGTGGGGAGGTGCAGTGAAGTGAAGTAGAAACGAATCATCCAACAGTCTCACCTCGGAGAAGTCGGCTCTATCAGCAGGGTCGGACGCCCAGCAGCGAGCCATGAGGGTGGCGATGGGAGGAGGGAGCGTGGGTGGAATGGGCGGGCGGAGGTTCCTGGGATGGCAGGGAGAGTTGTGGCAGGATGGGTGAGTGCGTGAGTGACAGGTGAACGGAATGGAAGCAAGGAGGTAAGGTGAGGTGAGTGAAGACGAGCAGAGGAGACGTGGGAAGGGCAGGGGGTGGCAATGGGTGCGGATCGTGCAATGTGTGCTCTTGAGATGCTTCATTTGCATGAGCAGCAGCAGCAGCAGCAGCAGCAGCAGCAGCAGCAGTAGCAGCAGTGGAAGGCAAGCGCCCCTCACCTCTGAAGCACGCCGATAGCAGCCTGCAGGGGTGTGAGACCAGAGTATGGCAGGTCGCCTGTCAACACCTCCCTGCGATCATGTCATGGGGGTGAAGGCAAATGAAAAGACGTCGGTGATGGCAAAGGAGAACACGTCCGCGCGCTGGTCATACCCCCTGTGCTCCATGACTTCAGGCGCCATCCACCAGTCCGGTACGTCCCCGTCTCTGCTGTCATGTCTGCCCAGTGCCCACCACTGCCCGTGCCTCATGCCTCATGCCCCGTGCCCTGCACGCCATGCCCTGTGCTCGGTGCTCTGTGCCCTGTACCCTGCTGGCCCCATCCCAGTGGCTCACCACATGGTGATGGCGAAGGAGAACACGTCCGCCCGCTGGTCGTACCCCCTGTGCTCCATGACCTCAGGCGCCATCCACCTATATGTCCCTGTTTCCGCTGTCATGTCAGCCCCTCCCACCTTCTCCGGCCCGCCCCTCAGCTGCCCACCCTGCTGCCGCGATGGCAGCATGCGGGCCACACCGAAGTCACACAGCTTCACCACCTGAGGGGCGTTGGGGACAGAGCCGGAACAAGAGTTAGACAGAAGAAGGGTTAGAGAGAGGATGGGTAAGAGGAAATGGGCCTCGAATGGCCTCCCGGCTGCCAGGAGGTGCACGATGCGCCTTTGGTGGGGGAAGTCCAGCCCGGAGGGAGGCTGCTTCCTCCAGGATAGACAGAGTGGTGCGATCAGATGCGCCACAGCAAGGAGAGCAGGCCCTTCGGATGCCCACTCACGTCGTTCTCGTCAATGAGCAGGTTCGCCGCTTTCAAGTCGCGGTGCACGATGCCCCTCCGGTGCAGAAAGTCCAGCCCGCGCGCCGCGTCCCGGAGGATCTTGAGGCGCGCCGGCAGGGAGAGGGTGACGCTGTGACGATCCAGGACGTCCCTCACACTGGTGCATGGAGAGAGGAGGTGACAGGGAAGGAAGAATAGGTGGCACGAGGAGAGAAGATGAGCGAGGTTAATTGGACCATGTTGCGGAGAATCTGTAGCGCACCGGCAGGAAGAGAGCGACACAGAGGAGATTGAGAGGAGATGAGGGAGGGGAGAGGTGGGACGGCGAGTGCTCACCTTCCCTTTGCCATGAGCTCTGTGACGATGAAGAGTCTCGGCCAGTGCGAGCAGGCTCCGATAAACTGCACGAGATTCTTATGGCGAACCATCCTGTAAGGAAGATACCAGCGACCGGAGACAGGAGAGAGCAACAATTGGGGCAAGGTAGTTGTGGGGGGATGAGGGTTACTTTTGAGTCGACTCAAAAGGTAGTTGTGGGGGGATGAGGGATACAGAAGGATGGGGAAGGCAGAGAGATGGGATGGCAGAACGACGTGCCAGAAGTGTGTGTAGTGGCATGTCATGGTAAGGACGTGGCAAACACGTAGAGAATCAAGAAGAAGGGCAAACAAAGAGGACTTTTGAGAATTATCCATAGCAACTTCAATTCAGTACAGGACTTGGATTGGAGGAAAGGACGGCGAGAGTGGGAGACCAAGAGCCCGTGGAAATGTGAACGAGGGAGTAAGAACACACCTCATTATAGCGACCTCTTGCTTGAAGCACTGCAGCAGCTCCATGGCCGTCGCACTTCGCAGCGTCCCACACACCGTGCCCCCCACCATGCCCATCCCCCCCGTCCCTTCCCCACCCTCCCCAGCAGCACCGCCCCCAGGCGCGCCCTCCCCCTGCGCGCCCCCCCCATGGGGAGCGAGCTGCAGCACCTTGACTGCCACCTCCTGCCCGCGGTACGTCCCCCTGAGCAGCCGCCCTGACGCTCCCCCGCCTAGCTTCTCCCCCAGGGCCAGCTGAGAGGGGAGAGGAGAGGGGTGGGGGTGGGGAGAGGGAGAGAGATTGACACCACGGCCCTCATGTTGTTCAGTTGCATGTGCTTCGTTGTGTGTGCCTCTAGTGTCAACTCGTAAGAATCACACGCCAGTCAACATCACAGCAGCCCCTTGCTACAGTCACGCGCCAAACCCCCCTCACTACAGTCGCACACACATCACACTCACATCACTGAAATCCACGGCCCAGTCCTCATATGCGAGTGCGTCCACTACGGCGCGCGCGTTGCTCAGCTGCACCTGCTCTCCGCCTCTACGCCTCTGACCCTCACTACAGTCATACGCCATATAGTCACACAGAGCACACTCACATCACCATAGTCCACGGGCCAGCCCTCATATGCGAGAGCATCCACCACGGCCAGCAGGCTGCTCAGCTGCACCTGCTCTCCGCCTCTACGCCTCTGACCCTCACTACAGTCATACGCCATATAGTCACACAGAGCACACTCACATCACCATAGTCCACGGGCCAGCCCTCATATGCGAGAGCATCCACCACGGCCAGCAGGCTGCTCAGCTGCACCTGCTCTCCGCCTCTACGCCTCTGACCCTCACTACAGTCATACGCCATATAGTCACACAGAGCACACTCACATCACCATAGTCCACGGGCCAGCCCTCATATGCGAGAGCATCCACCACGGCCAGCAGGCTGCTCAGCTGCACCTGCTCTCCGCCTCTACGCCTCTGACCCTCACTACAGTCATACGCCATATAGTCACACAGAGCACACTCACATCACCATAGTCCACGGGCCAGCCCTCATATGCGAGAGCATCCACCACGGCCAGCAGGCTGCTCAGCTGCACCTGCTCTCCGCCTCTGCGCCTCTAGGGTCAACTTGTAAGAATCTCACGTTACTCGCATCACAGTAGCCCCTCCCTCGCTAAAGTCACAAGCGCCACACTCACATCGCTGTAGTCCACGGCCCAGTCCTCGTATGCGAGAGCGTCCACGACGGCGCGCACGTTGCTGAGCTGCACCTGCTCTGCTGTGCGCGCCGCCACTGCCACGTGGTCCTTCCACTTGGCGCGCAGCAGCTCCTGCACCGCCTCCTGTAGCTCCACCGTCTGGGGATGAAGAGGAGCGGACAGGGAAATGAGTGGCCCGAGAAAAGGATCAACAAGGAACGGGTGAAGGCGGAAGGATAATGAGGGAGGCAGAGTGGCGGAAACAGAAAAGGAGGACAGATATTTCACCTGAAGTCACAACATGCATCCCACATGCATTCACATGCGACTCCCACATGCAGTGAATCAGCCCATGCCCATGCGGTGCGACTCACATCATCATGCAAGGGGTGGTCGCCATCGGGAGCCACCACAAACACCTGCAGCGCCATGCCATCACTGCTGCTGAACACATGCGCCTCCCTGATGTTCCACTCCAGCCCCGCATTCCCCAGCGCGCTCGTGAAACACGTCAGCAACCCCGGCCTATCAGGAGCTGCCACCGTCACCTCCCACCCGTACCCTCCCCTCTCGCCTCTCCCTGCGCCATCCTCGTTTTCATCCAGAGTGTCGCCGTGGAGACTCGAACCCGCGCTTCTCGTTTGATCGTAGGACCCAAACGACCCTATGCCTCCTCCCAGACTCCCCGATTCTGCACTTTTCCCCCCAAATTCGTCAAATGCCGCCCCCCCATTCCGCCCGTACAGTCCCCGCTGCTCGTTCCCCCGCGCGCCGTCCCCCTCGGCCTCCCCAAGCGCGCATCCTGAACCCCGCTCCGCGCTCCTTCCCTCAAGGCTGGAGGCGGAACCTCTTGTACCCGTTATAAGTTGAGCACCCGATTTCCGTCTCGGAATTGGCACGGGCGCAGGCACACCCCGCTCTCCGCGCATCCCACCTCCGCTGCTCGCGTTGACGCACGCAGCCAATGAGAATTGGCCACCTGTCCGTCCGCTTCCTGACAGTTGCCTCGTCACCTGGTTACCAGAGCCGCCGTTTGATCCTGAAGTTCCGCCGGCGGATGTGGCGGCGTTACTTGCGGCGGTCATTGCGGCCGCTGTGGGGCTGCAAACGTAGAGCAACGAGAGGGCGGCGGAGGAACCGAATATAGGCTTTGGAATGCGACGCGGCTGGCTGCTCGACTTCCGTCGCTGTTGCTTCGTTTGTTCCGACTGCCCAGAAATGTCTCTGTCAGCAGCGCCACTGGCGGCGGCAGCGGCGCGTGGTGTTGGCGTGCTGGGATTGGACGGCAGGTTTGCGGCTCCCAGCCACACGCGTCGCACGCACACCATTGGCCCGTGGTCGCGGTCCGACTGGTTCGCGTCGCGCACTTCGTTGATCAACCGCATGTGCAGCATGACGTCATCATGGCGGTGCGGGTCGACGCTTAGAGCGTACCTGGCGGGCGTGTGTACGCGTAGGTGGGGGACATAGAGGGCCGGAGTGGGGAGCAGAAAGTGGGGAAGAGGAGGGGGGAAAGTAGGAGAAGGGAGCAGGAAGGGGGCCGGAATGGGGAGCGGAGAGGGGCCCGCAAAGGGGAGTCGAGTGGGGGCACGGTGAGGCGGCGAAGGAAATTAGAATCAAGGATAGGCAAGAGTGTGACAAAAAGATGAAGAATACACCGACGCGAGCGCGCGTGCCGTGAAAACTGGAAGACGAAGCGCGCGTACCGCGAAGGGAGCGACGCGAAGTGTCGCCCCAGCGCCTCGACGGCTTGCTTGCCGTACCCGTCCTTCTCCACGCCCTCCTGCACAAGCCGCAGCACCGCGGCACATAGCGACTGCTTTAAAGACTTCTGCCCGCAACCGCCGGTCAGGGCTACGGCGCCCGGAGGCACCGCGCCCGCCGCCGCCGCTAGCGGAGAAGGTGGAGCGGCTGAGAGTGGTAGCAATTGTGGTTCTGGTGTCTTAGATTTTGGGCTGGATAGAGCGAAAGAGAGGCTCGAGAGGTCGAGCGGCGAATCAGGTGGCGACACGTGGATGTGAATTCTCGCTGCCATGACCCCCATCCAGCACGACTGATCAGCCGCCTGTACTCGACCTAGAAAGAACAATTCTGTTTATCGAGCTGGTCTGGGAGAGTGAAAAAAGGCGCCGCGTCGTTTCCTCCCCAATCAACTGACACATAAGCAGTTCTAGGTGGGGTTAGTGTCGCAGTAGCGTATCGTTTCCTCCCCGAGTGAAATCAAGTGACACGTTAGCAGCTCTAGGTGGGCTGCGTGACGCAGTAACGTACTACCAGGTGGCTTCTAGTACAACTGCGGCGAATTGCCACGTTGCAGCTGTTGGAGGCCTGCGCCGCCACTACTGGACTCCCCACTGGTGATTTTGAATGCACCAACGATCACCACAGCAGCTTGGCCAGAGAGGTTGGCTCAGCTCAGTTCTCCTTGCAGCTGCTGATGGTGCCCCCCTGGTCATGGTCGAGGATGTTTTGGGGGTGCAGGAGGAATTAGCCAGGTGAGGGTGAGGGGTAGCAAAGAGACAGCTGGAGCAAAACGGTCATGGCTTGGTTTGGTTTGGATATGGCTTGGAATGAGCATGAGACCAGACCGAGTCCTCCTGTTTGGTGAGGCGGCGAGGTGAGGCGAGTGGATGGGCGAGCATTGCGAAATGTTGCATTCACGTGGTGATGTGCTCTAGGGCCCCTACTGAGCTTGTGGAAACATCGGGTTACTTCACGAAACAGCTACAGTACATTCGATTCGTCGCAATAACATTTCATCCAAAACCATGCGATTCGGCGCCGCCTGGGAGCAAGTGTGCAAGGCCTGTCGCTGATACGCAGCAGCTCCACATAGTGTCAGCATCACCAGCCTCGCTAGCAAGGTTCGTCAATCGCGTGCGGTGCCAGCAACAGCCTTGCCCGCGAAACACCTCCGCCCTGAACCCGTAATACGCGCGAAATGCACTCGCCACGTGGTATTGGCATAGCTACAGTGTATGCCACTTATGCTAGGGCCAACCCCCGCAGCCAAGTCCGCCAACACATTGCGGTTCACTTTGAACGTGTGGGACGTGTCGCTGCGTGGCTAATGAGGTGCGGAAAGCGCGATGGCGTGTCCCACTCTCACCGGCTTGCACCAACACCACAGCCCTTGGACGTGGATCACGTGTGTCCAAACAAATCGGAAGAGAAAATGGTTCAGTTCAGATACCAGAAATATAAATTATCCCTCCCCACCTCTCGAAATTTCAACTCATCCCTCCCCACCCCACTCAGCTGTTTATTGGGAACCACAACCCGAGACTGTTGAAACGTCGTTCTTCGCCCAGTATCATTGTTCAGCTCTCAATATGGTGCAACAAAAGATGAAGAGTATTCACTCTGGTAATAATGAATTCCTTCTCTTCCTAATTCATCATCTTACTCTCTTCATCTCCCTTACAATCTGTTATAATCCTCCTGACTTGGATCACTTTGCTGAATGAGACCCGTCTCTCACTTACACTCTTCAGCTTCACTTCTCCAGTCTCCGTGCTTTGGCATTTTGCTTCTTCCGATGGCTGCATGCAACCCTTCAGTGCACCGTCACCATAGCTGTGGCCGGAGGCAGCGTCAGTTGCAATGGGTAGTCTCCATGACCCACTCCCAGCATATGGTTCTTGATTAGATAAGGCTGGGACCTGTCTGTGTTGGATTGCCGTGGGGCAAGACGTGGGCAAATTGTCTAATAGAGAACAATCATCCCAGGGAGACTGATCGAGGGAGCTATCACCCCAGGGAAATTGAACGCTGGAGTCAGGCATGGGAAGCCTTAGCGGGGCGCCACGCCATTTCACTGACTTGCACTCTGGTGGCAGTTGCTGCTGGTCTTGTTTGTTGGAGAATCCTGCCGCTGCTATCGTGCAAGTGCGTCGTGCACTGGGCATTCCAATCCCCGAATCGCCCGCAACACAGCCCTTGATGCGCCATTCTTCCGAATTCGCCTCCTCCTCCTCGTTCGAATGGTCAAAGGGCATGGCTGGCCTCTTGACTCCCAGGTTATGCCCCTTGGACCTCCCATGCTTCAGCTGCCTGGAAGGGCTGCTGAGACTGCACTGCTTAGAAGCCCGACAAAGAAGCTGAGGAGTGGTATAAAAGCCAGAGGTTGGGGAACCAGCCAAGTCCAGAGCGGCCACAACACCCTCATTCACGTTGTTCTCGCGTTCTCCTTGTGCGCTGCTGGCCTTCTGCCTGCTATCCGTCTCGGCTCGCCCCGAGGCCGCACTTGTGCTTCTCCTGTGGCACCTCCCCGCGCTTCCCGGCGTTTTCAAGGAAGTGCTTTTCAGGGCGCTTGACGACGTGCTTCGCCTCAGCGATTTGGGACAAGGGTTTCGCGAGGGCTTACGAAGGTTGTTTGGCGAAATAGGATGGAAACCAGTGTGCCCCGCGACGAGCCTCGTTTGGCCCTCACGGAAGGGGAAAACGACCTTCGCACTTTGCGGCGTGCGCGGAACCGTTCTCTCCCCGTCAAATCCGCCAACCTTCATCCCCGCGCTCGACCCCGTCCCCGCCATCAGAAGCCTCAACGCCGCGTCTCCAACGAGCGTCTCCCTTCCGCCCTCCCCTACATCTGCTAGGGCTTTCCCCCCACCGCCACGGTCCCTTCCGCCTTCTGCCGCCACCCGCCGCAAGCTTGCCCGCTCGCTCGCGTTTCGCGCGAGGAGCGCAGGAGAAGACGACCCGTGTGGTATGGGGCAAGAATATTCTCTCGCAGTCCGAATAATTCTCACTCGTTCGAGGCGACTCGGTGACCGTCGATCGGGTAATATCCGAGAGGCGAACACGCGATCTTCGCCGTCCAACAACGGTGTTTCGCGAGCAACGGTCTGAGGCCGGCCCGGGGAGGTAAAACGCCTCTGAATTCGCCGATTCACTTGCGCGGCACTTCCAAGTGGCGGAACCCTTGCAAGTGGGAGGGTGCGTGCTATAACCGTTCTGCTCCGTTCGGCGGTACCAGCGGAAATCGGTTCCGTTCCGCCGCGCGGGACGACCGCCAGAAGCTCCGGGGGAAGCGCTGTGCGCGGAAGATGCAGGGAGGCCGCCGGGCTGCTGCTGAAATCGGCGCTGAGACGAGGCACAGCGCGCCACCTGCCGCTTCTCGGGCCGCTCCTACAGCCACATCTCTCGCTAAAACTGCGAGTTATTAACCGCGAATCATCCAGCGGGGAGGTTCCTTCCGACGAGTAATCGCTATCTAGCGGATACGCCACGGGGACGCTGTCAGAACAGCTCGAACTGCCGGTGGTGGTACTGCCGGCCTCCCATCTGCGTGCAGTCACATTGCGATCAAACAGCAGCGCGTCGGCGATCGTGCATGGCTGCGCTATAGGCGCGACGGCATCCGTCGATTCGGAACAGCTGGGTTCGCATTCCGAGGCGGTCCAGCAGCTACTGCCTGTAGTAGAGCTCGCAGTTGATTGCCCCACCGCGGATTTCCCCTCTCGTTCGGTCGCCGACGCCGCCGCCGCCGCCGCCGCCGGGGTCAATGCTGCAGTCGGCAGGCCCACGCCCGCGGTAGTTAACGGTTGCGTCGCCGCGATTCCCGGGGTGACGGATGGAGCGTCGTGTCGCGCTGGCGATGGAAGCGCCTCCAATGCGGACCGGCGAGATTCGAGCAGCGAGCCACCAGAGTCCGAGGAGAGGCGCGAAAAAATAGAAATGGACGCCCGTGGTGGGCGCGGAGTCTCCGAATCGGACGGTGACTCGCTGCTGCTGGAGACGTTGGATTGTGGGGAAATCGGGGAGGTAGTGGGCGCAGCCGGCGGGAGGCCGGGGGAGGGTTTTATGGAAGGCTTGTTGCTCGGGTCGTCGTTGGGGATTGGGTGCGTCGAGAAAGAACCATTCTTCGTGCCAATGCTTCCTTGCTTCAGAAGTCCCTTGGGTATGCCCAGTTCAACCACACCTATGACTTCATTCTCCGCCAAGCCACGCCCCCTTTCTGGCTCTTTTTTCCCTTCCAGTTGGCTTTTGGATTGCTCCGCCTCTGCCACATCCCCCTCCGTAGGCGCAACGTAGAACCGCATCCCCGTGTTCGCCGCATCGTCGCGCAGCGAATAGAGACAGCGGCGATAAAACGGATGGTTAGTATTCGTGTGATTGCTAATCTGCTGCTTCTTTCGCAGTCTCAGCCGTCGATGCAAGAGCCACGGCAGGCTGTAGCAAGTGACGACCGTGCAGCGCTTGATGCCTGATTTTCTTTCCGACCCTTCCCCGTCGCTACTGCTCTCTTCGTTGCTGGAATCGCCGTCACCGCCAACGACGCACGGCGATCCACCTACCACTGTCATCTAGACGATGAAAGAGGCCCGTACAGTTTACTCCGCGACTGCAAGGGGCTCCAGAGCTTTGTATGAGGCGCCTAGCAAACTGTTCGACATCGTGCTAAGTTAGCTTTGCGTGGCTGGGATCGTTGAGGGACCGGCCTTCACAATGCACCAGTGAAGTACTTTATGTGAAGTACGTAAATCTGCTGGAAAAGCGGCACCATTTGAACTAAGCCGAAGGATGTCTTGACACCATTACTGAAAGTCATTAACGTTACATTAACGACGAACAGGACGGGTCCGACCCGACACATGAACAGATGAGTGAGAGTGCCGAAATGGTGTTGGTGGTGCTGCCAGTGCGCTGGTGATGGTTCGTACGGCTCTTGGTGATTACGGAAGAAGCGCAAAGCAGGTTACGTGAAGGTGCAATGCCGAACGGGTGTGCTGGAATGCACGAGACATGCATTGACATTTGATTTCAATCTTCCGAGTCGCTTGTCGAGTCGCGATGTGGATCACGGGTTCGTTGTCTGGGAACGCTGTTTATAACGAAGCGAAGTGATTTCAACCAGAAAATCCTTGAATTCATTTTGACCATATGGCTTTTCACAAACCCATAAAGCGTTACAGGGTACCTCAAAATAGAACAAGGTACCCCAAAATTCATCACGAAATAATGTGAGCAGCTTGAACAATACATCTGATATCAAGGAATATGGTTTCACCATGCCTATGAGGTAAAGGCCTA